CAACAAGGGCTAGAAGTAGCCCTTAGGTTCTCAGACCCAAAAGCAAAAGAATGGAGTTGGGATGGATCATGGAGTGGCCACTCCCATGGCCAAGGGCAGGGGGTCTAGTGGGGGGGGAGTAGAGACTATTAGTACTGGTCTGACCATAAAAGAAACTGAAGGGGCTAAGGGGGAAGCTGGGATGGAAGGAGGGGATTGCTGAGGAGCCCCAAACGGGGAACTTGGCAGCCAAAGAGAGAGAGAAGGCTTACATGCTCTTCCTCTTGTATCAGAGCTGCCCTGGGTGGCGGCTGGGTAGGGCTGGGAGAAGAGGGAGGAGGGCAGGGAGGGGGACTGCCCAGCTGGAAGAGGCCTTGTCTAATTGTGCCTGATTAGTAGAGAGGAAGAGAACAGGGCGAGTGATTAATAGTCACGGCAGTCACCAGCCTGTGGGGAAGGAGTGTTGGGAGGGGGAGGGAAGCCTGGGAGCCAAGAGGGGATGGAGACAGTGAGGCACCCACAGGGCCCTTGTCTCCCACCCCTCCAGGAATTTTCTAAACCCCCATGAAGAAGGTCTGGGACCTACACCTCCCTCCTTAGGGACTCTCCCGCTCCTCCATGCCTCAATTTTCCTAGAAGTGGAATGGAAGACGAAAGGCCAATTTTTGATCTGCACCTGGGAAAAAAGGTCCCTTGGTTTGCAAGGTGTTTCTAGATGCCCCAGTGCCCCAGGCACCCTCCTCAGCTCAGCCTGGTACCTCAGTCTGAACAGTAGTTCATAGCCTGCAGCCATTACAGTTTGTCCTTGATCCCAGTTCTAATTCCAGCCTGCCAGGCAGTCTGAACCTCATTCCTAGAATCATCAAGAGCTGCACTGTCCAAGACAGTAGCCACTAGCCACACATGCCTAATCACATTTCAAATACTCATCAGCTGCATATGGCTAGTGACTACCATGCTGGACAGCACAGACACAGGACATTTCTGTCATCACAGAATGTTTTTTTGGCTAGCACTGACCTAGAGTGTGCGTACACTCTGGCACATATGCACACGTGCGTGCCTATTTGGATGAAACGGAAATGATACAACGGCACTGAGGAGGACTTGGGCCCGAGGGTAACAGGGAGGGAAGACCAGGTGATGGACAGCAGCGACAATGCCAAAGCAGGGGTCCGAAACCAGTAGGTGGTGCTGTGAACAGTCAGGTTAAAGATAGCCAGGAGCAGGGTTGGTGGCGTTTCTGACAGCTGACACTTGCAGAGTGCCTAGGATGTGGGTGCCAGGCAGCGTGCTAAGCACTTTAGGCATCTCTTTAATCGTTAGGACAACCCCAAATGTTTAGGTTCTAATATCCTATTTAATGAATATAAAAACCGAAGCTCACAGAAGCATTTTTAGGTCCCCCCAAAGCCATACAGCGGAAAGGGTAGAGCCAAGGTTCAAATCCACACAATCAGGTGACTCAAGAACTCACACAGTTGACCCCTCCAGGGTACAGTCTCCAGCTAAGAGGAGATGCTGAATTTTAGAGCCGTCTTGGCTTTGTACAACTAGAGACGCTGGCGAGTGGGGAAGGGTGATGCCTGTCTTCCAGGAAGTGGGCAGGCTGGGCATGAGCCTGGTAGTGAAAGTGGAATTGGGGCTTGGGGCACAGGACCCCTGGAGCAAATGGTGGTAGGAATGGGGAAGAAAGAGAGAACCATCTACAAGGTGGCAGGGGAACACATAGGTGACAGAGAAAGTAGGAGGTATAAGTGGGAGTGGATTGGTGTGAGACTAAGCGTGGCAGGGAAAGGGAAAGGGAAAGAGGAGGAGAGCTGGGGACTAGCTGGAGGAGAGCAGTGTGGAGGGAGAGCACCCCCAGCCCCAGCATCCTCTTCTCTCTTCCTCCCCTCCTCCCTCTCCTCCTCTCCACACCGTGGCCAGCCTGCCTCATCCTGCCTCATCCCTTAAGCCTCCCCAGCCCTCTTCAGCCCGAGTGGCCTCTCTCTCTGAACTCAGGTTCTTCCTATCCTTGCACCTCATCTGGCAATTAATCCTGGCACCTTATGACACCACTTGCTTGGCTGATTAACTCTTGCATGGTTGCTTAAGCTTTTGAGCATCCCTGTCCTTGCTCTACCATGGGACTGTAGGCTGCTTGAGGACAGGGACCAGGGACTAGGGCTTCTCTTCTTTGCTGTCCCCCACAACTCCAAGCAGGGATCCCAACACATAGTAGGTACACCGAGCTCCATGTTGATGGACTGCCTGGGAGTGAATGAGGGGCTATCTGGGAGCACCGGGTAAGAGCAGTTGCAGTGGTAACAGAAGCAAGAGCAGCAGCTTAGGGGACTGGGGGAGGGTGCATTACCAGGAGTAAAAATAGGCTGGAAAATGTGACATTTATTAACTTGGATTCCGGAGGAAAGGTCACAGCAGAGTGGGGAGTGGGAAAGAGGAAACAGGGAAAGCAACAGAAAACACATAATAGCCCCTTACTGAAGGCTGTCGCCGTCACTGACCATTTCATGACCCACTTGCTTCCATGTTCCCCACCAACTGTCTCAGGTACCCATCTCCCCATCACAGACCCCCCACATCCCCAACATGGACTCCATGTCCTCACCACAGAGACAATTACAGACCTCATGCCCTCACCAGACACCGCAGTGTCTTCATGTCCCTTCTCCAGTTTTGCCCAGATGACAGGCCCTCATCTTCCCCGAGGCCTCGGATCATGGGCCCCATCTCAATCTTTAATTCCAGACCCTGGTGCATTTGCAGCAGGCTCAGCCCGAAGGTGCCAGATCCAAGGGAAGTTACACTCAGCAGATGGGAACGAGGTATGGGCATAAGGGTATGAATCTAGATCGGGCACGGAGAATAGGAACCCCAAAGGGGACTCACCCCCCAGTGCTTGCTTTGCTCCTCCTCCCCTTGTTATCCTTCTGCAGCCCCAGAGCTGAGACCCACAACTTCTCTCCTCTCTTCTGCAGCCCCAGAGTAGCAAAGGGCCTGTGGGAAATCCACCCTCACTCCTCCCAGCCCTTCCCGGGATTTCCAGGGACTCACCAGCTTTGATCAGGGGACTCCCTGTCCCTGTATCCTCCAGGCACCTCCTCCCTCCCTGGAGGCTAGGCAGGAACTCTGGCTCCCTCTCTTTACTTCCTCAGCCCCCCTCCATCTCTTTCTCCCCTTCCCTCCCACTGATATGTCATTACCCTTCCCCTTTCCTGCCCACCCCCAACAAGGGCCTGAGACACAAACTCCTGCTCTAGTTTGCTTAGGGGACACAAAGACCCCATTGATTTCTGCCCCAACAGCACCTGCTAAGACTGGACCCCCACAACAAGGAGGGGTGAGGCTGCAGGACAGAGGAGCCCCATGGATCTTAGAGGCCACATACTCTACATCCCACCTCCTCCTCAGGGACCCTCCCAGGCTTGTCTTTGAGGAGCAGTGAGTTTTCCTAGAAGACAAGGTGTACAGCCAGACAATGGGCTAATGCCCTCTGACTCTGCTCCCAGCACAATCCTCTCCTTCTTGGCTCTCTGTTGCCATCTAATTGCCCCCACCCAATGTCAGGAGGCCCCAGACAGCAATCATGGTGGGGGCCAGGACCCGGTTGGAGTGTGTTTCCTGGTGACACTGAGGCAGCAAGTGAGTGAAAGCCTGGGGTTGGGGGCTGGGCCTTGAGGAAGGAAAGTCCCCATTGCTGCTGGAGGCTGGCCTGAGTGGGCACCGTGTTGACACCACACATCTGCACCTGCATGGGCATTGGTACCGAGGATGAAAACACAGATACACACAGTGCTGGGAGTCAACTGTGGACTGGGGACAGCCATCTCAAGCACCGTGAATAATAGATAGCCTGTGACTGTGGGTGAACGGATTGCTGATAGACAGACAGTACACCAGACACACCCCCCGCACTCACACACCTGACTGTGGGAGGTGTGCAGGGAGAGCAGCCCGAGCCGACACTCCCAGCCAGGGTACATGTGTTTGTGTTCCTACATGTGTGAGAGATGGCGCCAGCAATCTCTGCGTGGAGAATGGGGAGCAGCACTTGGGGTAGATGAAGGGGCGTCATGAGGTGAGATGGCACCCACAGCATGACCCCATCCTTGGCAGCTAGGAGCTGGAATATGGGCATGGAGCTGAATAGCTCTCTGGGCGTGTGGGTATGTGGGTGTGCAGGTGTGCATGTGAGTGGAGTGACAGGGACACTGAGTGCGTGTGAGAGGGAGTGTGCAGGAAACTGTGTCCCCAAGCAGTAGGAATGTGTGTGTGTGTGTGTGTGCGCGCGCGTGCATGTGCGTGTGCTAGCACTGAGGGTGAATTATGCACACAGAGTGAATGAGTGATCCTCAGTGTAGGAGCCAGAGCCGGGCAAGGGAGCAACAAGGGGATGGAGGGGGCCACTGGCAGGCGAAGCTGGGGGGAGCATGAAAGAGGGATGTGTGAGGGTATCCGTGAAGGGGGGCAGTGAGAGACACAGGGACAGAAGAGACACTGGCACCCAGTGTACACGAAGACCATCTCTATCCAGTCTGCCAGCGGGGCCAGCTCCCCAGAAGGCAGCCCTGAGTCCTTCCCTAGCCAAAGCCCCCCAAATACCCCTCCCTTTCACCTTCATTTTGGGAGGGAGAAGAATTCAGTTGCTCCAGAAGAAAAGGGGAGCAAGAGCAAAGTGGGGATCAGTCAGTCCAGCCTTGGGAGGGTACATCCCTTCCCTGCTAGCTGACCAGCTTCAAGACCCCTGGGCTCACCCCAGGCTAGCCCCTGGCCCCCAGCCCTGGGCACTGCAGCAGCGGCAGGACCAAGAAGAGGAGCAGCAGCACTGGGGTAAGTCCCTAGGACTGTCCACCGCTCCAGGGCTGGGAAGCCAGAGGGAAACACCGGCTGGGGAGACACCAGGCCCGCCTCTGGTGGCGGAAGGAAGGGAAGCCCTGTTGAGGATGCCCTCACGTACCACCCCCGCCCCACGCCAGCCTCACCACCCCAGGCCAGGCAGCCCAGCTGGCAGAACTCACCACAGAGAAGTTGCTGGCGGAGCAGTGGTGCCCACTGAAGTTGCAGCTTTTGAGCATGTCGGCAAGCTGGTGGCCAGTGCGGTTGAGGATGTCTACCATGTCGGGCTCTGGGTAGCGCAGGCCAGCAGCACGGTGCCCATCCCGGTCTTTGGGGGGTAGCCCTGTCAGATTGGCCAGGTGGAAGATGTCAGCATCGCTGAGTGCTGAATGCCGGAAGCGGTTGATGTTGCAGAGGGTGACAGCTGGGAAGCCCGCCACTGGGGCTGGGGCAGCAGGGTCCATTGCCACCAGGTGAGGCCGGGTCAGGTAGCCCCGGGCCAGGCCAGCTGCCTGGTACAAGAAGGCAGCCAGCGAGGTGAGTAGGGCCAGTGCCCACAGGGTTCTGCGCAGTCCATGGGGGCCTGGGCCACAGGCCCGGCCCAGCCCATGCAGAGTGCTGGTGCTGGCAAAGGTGGCCAGGTCCCGGGGGGCTGCTGACCCCCGAGCAGCCCCCAGGAGGCTCTGCTCATCCCCTGCCTCCTTCTCCTTGGGTTTCGCATCTTCCTCAGCAAATTTGATTTTGCACACAATCTCGATCGGCATCTGTCCCTGGCTGCTGGGACTGGCCAGAGCCTCCCTGCCCCTGTCCCTCCCTGGCCAGCAGCCCTGGTGCCCTCCGGAGTGGCGGTGGTGGCAGCGGCTGCTCTTCTAAACTCAGGGCAAGCAGGAGGAGGACAGGGACAGGGTGGGGGCCCGAGGTGGGGGCGTCACTCCCACTCCCAGCAGCTCCGCAGCCCTGGTGCTGCTTCTGCCGCCGCTGCCTCTGCTGCCGCTTGTCTCTCTCCTCGATCGTCTCCTTGTGGCTTCCCTTATCAGCACCAGCACAGCTGTCAGCCCCTGCGTGTGTCCCTGCGAGCGAGCGAGTGAGCGAGGGAGCTAGCGCTGCTCCGCCACGCCGCGCAGCCCCAGCCGCTCCGCTCAGCATGTGCTCCGGAGCCCACCCCGTGCTTAATAATTCAGGACATGTCAACAGCGTTTCACCGGCGGCATGGGCGGCAGGAGCCAGGCCAGGGGAGGGGAAAACCCCTGGTCCAGGACAGGGATCCAGGGATTGGGCTATCCCCCAAAGTCTTGCTACACCCTAGCCACTTGCAGGGAGCCCCAGATGTCCCACTCCCAGGGCACTCAGGCAAGAGAACAACACCCAGAGCGCTCAACCTCCTCTGCCACTTTTCTGAACCACACCCCATGGAGGGTCAGCCAACTCTGTCCTCCACTTCCCAGCCTCCCTGACTCCGGACTCCAGCCAACACCTGGTCCCACTACCCAGCTCACAACAGCTTCCAGAAACTCCTTGAGAGAGCCACTTGTTTGAATGAGGAAGGGGAAAGGAGGAAGGGGACAACCGTGACTCCGCTAAGATTCTAGCTTCCCTAGAGCTTTGCTGTCGACTTCAATGCCCCACTGTACCCCTCCCTGTCCCTGCTCCAGGAGACTGGCTCTGTCTCTCTCGTCTTGTCCCTAACCCCTGAGCCACTCATACGACTGGGAGTGAGGCCACCCTGGCTAACTTGCATGTCTATGGCCACTTTCACCCCAAATGTCCCCCAAGTCTCTTGCCACAACCAGGCTGGGGGTGGGGGGGTGCTGGGTGAATAGGCTAGGGAGGAAATGGGAACTCTCAAATGTGGAAGGAGGTAGTGGAGAGCCCAGATGGAGGTTTCCCAGGGAGCGAGAAGATGTGCTGGTTTTCAATGGGAGAGAATGCCATCCTCAGGAAACCAATGCCAGGGCTGCCCTGTCACTTGGTAGAATGGGGGCAGGGTAACCCTGAGGGACTGCCATATTCTTGTGGAGGGGCAAGTGGGCACGTGGTCTGTCAACACAGGCAGGGGAAGGATGCCTGGCTGGCCGGCCAGGAGGGGATACATTTGTGGCCCCCAGGGTGAGGGGTGGCAAGAATGAGCTGCTTGTGCTCTGGGGGACCCATGTGAGAGTGTGAACCCTCATGGGGGAGGAAGCACTTGTCCCCTGCAGGAAGGGGGGGCTGATTAATCGGGGCGCTAATGAGCAGCAGGGAGAGGAAGCTCCAAGGGGCGGGGGAGGCGGCTCCATCGATCCAAGCCGCGGAACCAGCAGCTGAAAAAAAAAAGTGAGAAGGGAATCGATCTGAGGGAAACGGCAGCTGCTGGGGATTAGAGCCCGAGGTCCACCCGCTGCCCGTCGGCCACCCCTCCCCTGCGTCAGGCCTGGCCTCGCAGTCTCCGCCTGGACCTGAGGGAGGGACCCAAGGATGTTCCCTAGGGAGCAGGGAGCTGCTCTGCCACCCTGGCTGCAAGGCCAGGTCAGGTCCTACCAGGGTCACCTCAGCATGGAGCCTGCCCACACACCCAGCCTGGTTATGCATGGTGCCCTGACTAGGTTGTTCCAAGCCTTTCAGCAAAGTGGCTTCCAGGCGTCCCACAGCTGGGTTTCCCCATAGATTCCCAGGAGGCTGAGTCAGGGTCAGAGAAGCTTGGCAAACTGAGAAGACCCCTGGGGTTGGGTCCAGTGCTGACTCTGGCTGGGACACAACATCCTGGAGGGGAAAGTGAGATTGGCACTGGAAGCAGCCACCACATTACTACTCAAGTATCCAAGTGACCACAGACAGCCCCCATGCCCCATGCCTTGGCAGCCCCTTCCGAGGCTCTCCCCTCCCTGGTAGACTTACAGACATTTCCAGAGCTCCCCCCACCGCTCCTCCCCATCCTTCTCTCTTCCCCTTTCTCCCAATATTGATTTTTCTTTACTAGGTTTTTTTTAAAAAAGGTGATTTAATTGCTTTTTTAAGGTTACTTCAGTCTGGGGCTCTGCCAAGAAAGCAGGGAGCTGCCCCCCAAGCTCTCCCCCGCACTTACTGCTGCCCTGGCGTCTGTACATGTCCCTGAATTCCCCTGTCATCTGCTGAGATCTCAGGGTCACACTCTCCCATCACATACTGGCCTCCATCAGAGCCCAAATCACACCCTCTTTCCCCTTGAGGGATGGCAGGGAAGCTTCAACCTCTAAAAGGAATGAAGTTGGGTGGTAACTGGGCACAGGGGGAGCATGGGGGGCTGTGGAGGAACTCCAGGCTGCCTGGAAGTGGTGCAGCAGTTAGTTACACTTACACCCCCACCACTGCCCGATGGCCAGCTGTCTCCAATTGTCCCCAAGTCCCCACCTCCAGTCTCTCAGATCTCCAGGAATCTGGTTATGCTCGGTAGGAGTCATCCCTCACCCCCACCCATCCTTCCAGCCCATCTCTTGGTTTGGTTTTTACCATCCACTCCTCCCCAGCCTCTGCTGGCCCTCTTCATGTCCCTCTATACCCCTGTCGCCTCTGGCCCCGTCCCCTCTCCCCGCCTCTCCCTGCTTCCCTGCCTGCCTCTCTCTCTGCCCGGCTGCAGTTGGGTGATAATCTCCCTCATTTAGCCTCCCGGCTGCTTCCCCGGCTCATTGCCCAGCTGGTCCCTGGGGCCCGGCCCAGCTTCTTCCCCACCCCCATCCCCAGTCCTGCGCCCAAGCTCCCCATCCCCTCCCTGCTCCCCCCACCCACTCCCAGGGGACCAGCTGCCCCCTGTAGTGAAGAATCAGAGCCAAGTGGGGCTGGACAGGACCTGAGCTGGGGGTGAGCAAACAGGGTGGGGCTGATAGGGACCCTGGGCTGAACAGAAGGGATGGGGGCGTTGCTGCAGGGTCTGGCCCTGAAGCCTCAGCTGGAGTTCCTCTGCCCTCCAATTGTCCCCATTCCACAGATTTGTTCACAGTCCAATTCTCCACCCCCAGGCTTTGTGACAGTGAGGAGGCAGAGGTTAGATGAGGCAGGGCTGGGAATGGGGGCAGAGGAATGAGGAGTAGCAGGGAGGGCAGAATGGTTCTGGCTCAATGAATCTGGGAGGAGGCACAGGGTTTTATTTGAGCAAAATACCCCAAAGGGAGACCTGGAGACATCCCAGGACTCAACTTCACAGGGTTCCCAGGGGGCTTCTGTTCACAGGACAGGGACCCCCAAGCTAAGCTGTATTTGCCTCTTCCTACAATGTGTAGGCCCCAAGCTCCATCTCTCTGGCCCCATTAATAAACCACATGACCCTCAAACTCCTAGGTAGCATTCTCCAGAGAGTCCCCAGCCTCCCTCTACTCTCAGGAGACACCCCTTCACCACCCTCCCCGACCAGAAACCTGCCTCTGGTGCGGACCAGGGTATGAGCCAGTGTGGGACAGACGTGGGCGGGAAGGGACAAGGAAGGGGAGGCCGGGCTGGGCCAGGCCTGGCTAGTGAGCGAGCAGCAGTGACAAACGGGCTGTGCGGGGGTGAGGGGCGGGGGGCGGACGGCGGCTGATTTATCTGGGTTATTTATGCCGCGGACGAGGCAGGAGAAGCGGTTAATGAGAGTCCCGGCGAAAGGGGGTGGGGAGGCCTGGACGTGATCTGAGAGGACTGAAGAGGGTTAGCGTCCCACCGCCAGGCCCTGCCCCCACTGTCACCAGTACTTTTTACCCCGCCCCCCACCCTGTCCTCCGGAGGCCAGGGCAGCACAGCACCTTTCCTGTGTCTTGAACCCACAGCCTCCATCCCTATGCGGTTACTCCCACTCAGAGACCTGGGGTCCCCAGGACTGCAGCACAGCTGGTCCAAGATGGGGCGGAGGGCGTTCAGCTGAGAAACTGAGGAGGGGCCCAGGCAAGGGAAGGGCAGGAAGAAGAAAAATGACAAATCCTGGCTGCCAGAAACTGACAAAATCTGTGGAGCCTGTCAGGGGGAAGAGGCTAGCTTGGGAGCGGGTGGGCAGCCCACAGCCTCAGAGCTAAGGTGGAGAGCAGGCAAAGGGCACCGGGGTACAGATCTGGTGTCAGCCAGGGGCCCCGATGGGGGCCTGAGTGGCAGAAAGGCTTGGGGGGTGGCACAGGCTGGTCAGAGAGCAGCGAGAGCTGGGAAGGAGGGGAGAAGATCCAGAGAAGGAGGGGGAGAGGGCTTTGCAGCAGTGAAAGCTGCTGGGAGCAGATAAGGCAGCACAGCAGCAGGAGGGATTAAAGCTCCGAGGGGCATGGGGGGCGGCGTGGGAGGGGGTGGGGGGCAGGGAGGAGAGGCTGAGGGCAAGACACCAGGGCCAAGGAGATGAGTAGGAAAATGCGGGCTTCGAGGCAGCAGGATTTAATCAGGGGCCACAAGGTGGCCATTAACTGGGAAAGAAGCGACTCTTGATCGTCTGTTCTGGGGAGGAAGACTTTTGTACCATTGATGGAGTCCCCACACCCTGCCCACCTGCCCACATTGGGACAGCAGAGTTAAACGGAGGGATGCACTGCTGAGGTTAGGGTGCTGGAGGATTAAGGGGTAGGGTGGGGATGAGGGGATGAGGCAGAGGTGGCCCTGGGAGCCCTGGAGCCAAGGCTTGGAGACTGAGGGCACACAGCGCCTCCTTGAGGCGGCTGATGGAACACCAGAGAGCCACCAGAGAGCCACAGGGAACAATTAAGAATGCCCAGTCCACTGCCCTAGCATGGAGACCACATCACACCCAGACTGTGGCAAGGACCAGAGTTTCAGAAGGGCTTCTTTGTGGGGAGAGATAGAGGCTCAGAAGAAGGGCGGGTAGCTTCTCAGGGTGAGCCTCGAAGTCCCTTACAACCCTCCTACCCTCCTAGAAGGGTGTTTGGGGCAGGTGAGACCCCTGCTCCCTCCAGACCAGAGTCCAGGGCAGTTCAGAGGTGGCCTGGGTGGTGGAAGGGAGCCTGGGGGAAGAGGAGGGGCTGGGGGAGGGGAGCGGGGGTGGCAGGCGGGGCTGGGTAATTGCATGTTTGCCAGTTCTCCGTCTCTGCACACCGAGGGAGCGCGTGTTGGTGGGTGTAGCTTCGCTTTGAGGAGTGTGTGTCTGTTGGCAGAGGTGTCGGTATGTCTGTTTCGGGGGTCTGGGCTCTTCTTGGCCCCCGGCTCCCCTTTGTGTTTTGGGGAGCAAGGCTCTGGGCATACCCAGCTGTGCTCAGCGCTGATGCGGCAGATGTGGCGGGGCCCCAGCTGTGCCTGCTTCCCAGAGAGGGGGAGGGGGCCGCAATCTGCTCCCCCGATAATGGCTGCTAAGTGCCAGAGGGAGGGGATCGAGATGGAGGTGGGACAGGGTCCCTGGACAGCCCACCGAAGGGACAGGAGGGAGATGAAGGCACTGCTGCCCTGCCCCACCCCACCCCGCCCAACCTTCCCTGTCTGTTCTTGGATCACCCTCTCCCCCTCAGCTGGCTCCTGAAGCCCATCCAAATTTCTCTCCACACTCAGTCCCTGTCCCCAGCTCTCTTCCCCTGTCGCCCCATCCAGCTTGGTGCCAGGGACCCACCCCCTTCCCCGGCCCCCAGCTTGCTCCCCCTCGCTGATTTTACAGAATAATCTTTTTATGGAAACCGAAAAGCGCTAATGGCAGGAGCGCACCCCTCCCCCGCATCCCTCCCCCTGTTCATCCCCCACTTCCCACCCCAGTTCCCTTGTTTCTCCCTTCTTGAACCCTCTCAGGGCCAGCACCCTTATACCCCTACAGGGCCATTGAAGGTTGGGTGCAGGGTCAAGAGGCAGTGGACAAGGGGGTTCCTTGTTCCCCCTACTCACATCTTGGGCCCTGAGTGGCCCCCTCATAGATGCAAGAGGCTTTAGGCCTTTCCCACCACAGAAAAGGGCTGCAGATGGGGCATTACAGCCTCTCCCCTTAGACACCCCCCTGCATACACTCTCTTGGCCTGGGGGGAGGCAGACCTCAGCCTCACTAGCTACCCCCCTTTCAAACACGGACCTGTTCCCCTTCTAGTACCTCTACCCACCATGTCCCCACCCCCACTGGGTCTAGGAGGGGGGTCCCGGGGGCCAGGGCCTGACACAGACTTATTGGATTTCACGGTGTTTTGCTGAGAAAATAATTAAATTATCATATTTATGATGGAGCTGCCATGGCCTCTGCCAACCGCTCGGAACAGAAGGGTCAGGACAGGGCGGGGTGGAGAGGGAAGGGACCCAGAGCCTGGCCCTGCGGCCCAGCCCTCTCCCAGCCCCTTCCTCAGGGAGATGACCTCAGGCACAGAGTGTGCCTCTGCAGTTCCCTGCAGGCAGAGATGATAGAAGGTCTGGGTTGGAAGCAGGGACCAAAGGAAGCAGGGAAGGGGGCTGAGTGAGGCAGGTTACAGGTCAGGCCTGCTAAACCCAGTCATTTCCCACGGCTCTCACACAGTCCGCAGAGCCTGAAGGGGTTGGGAGGTCACCTCAGCCTAGCTCCTGTGCATCTCTGTCATTGCCCACCTATGGAGCTATGAAATCCTAGGCTGTCCCTCATGCTGGTGCTGATAACAAGGCCCCAGCACCCTGTCCCCCCCAGCCTGCTGCCAGGACCCCCTCCTCCCTCCCACCCACACCCTGCCCCCCCCCCATTCTCTTCGGGTAATTAGATTCCTCTCAATTAGCAGATTACGATCATTACCAGCTCATCTGGCAACTAAGCTCCAAACCCACAGCTGGGGAAAGGGGGGCACTGAGAGGGGCACTTGGGGGTCATGGGCAAACATGAGAGATGGTAGGGAGAGCAGGACTGAGACCTGCGAAGGGCAGGACCAGGCTGATGGGAAGTGGCCAGAACTCCTCCCAGAAAGGACACCTCCCCCTGCACTTCCAGAGAGAGCAGCATTGGCTCAGGCCTGCCCTGCCTGCCAGGGGAGTAGGAGACAGAGATACTGAGCTCCAGGCGGGGGCAAACCTTCCTACACCTCGCCAAAAGCCAGGCTGGGAGCAGATGGGGCTGGCAAAGCGGAAAAACAGGCCAGCACCGGGGCTGGGCAGGAGCTGAGGAGAGCGGGCTGCCAGGGGTGATCAGCCTCCAGGGCTGTGGCTCCCAGCTCTGGGGCCCAGCTGAAAGGCTCACAACCCCCCACCTCTGAATCTCACATTGGGAGTCCAGGCCAGGCCCAGTGAGGAGAAAGAGGCAGGAAGGTGGGCAAGCAGGGGCAAAGGTGGGGGCCAGCGGGCAGGGGAGCCTGGAGGGCCTTCCTCCAGAGCAGTGCAAAGAGGCTGAGGCAGTGGGAGGGGGAGATTTACCAGGGCTCCAGATTCATTATTCATGAGCCCGCAGCAACGACTCCAATTTAAATGCTAATGTGGGGGGGCCTGACTCAGCTGCCCACCTCCTGCCCCCACCCCCAGCCCAGACACAAGTGGAGTCCGTGCTGGCTTCAAGGTTCACTGGGGTTTATTTGGGAGCGGGGAGGGAGACCAAGCCACCCACACTGCCCCAGCAGGTGAAGATCCTGACAGGCTTCATCTGGTCCTTTCTGGATAGGAACTGGCCAAGCAGGCAGCAGCCTCCAGGAGAGCAGGAAGGAGTTGGGAGCCCCTCTGCAGCCCCTGTCAGAGGATGATCTGGTTGGTGAAACTGCGGCTCAATTCCTTGTGTGGCAGAACAATCGAGTTCAGGATAAGCACCTCGGCAGGGATCCGGACGCGGCAGCCTGCAGTAGAGATGAGGGCACCAAGGGGAGTTCATGGGAGAAGAGAAAGGGGCAGGTAGCTAGGGACCCAAGGCCATCTGGGAGGGATCCCTCCTTGCCCATCTGTGGTCCTGGCCTAATGCCCCCAGAAATTCACATAGGGCCTGGCACACAGCAGGCACTTGGTAAGTGTCTGCTAAAGGAAGCATGCACGCATGTGCACACACGCACACACACACACAGGAACAAATATTCCCACAGACCTCTGGCATCATCTCTGGTGCTTCTCGAAGCCCCAGGGCCCAGTAAGTCATACCCAGGATGGTGATAGCAGGCAGCAGCTTGCCGTCTTTGAAGAGGCTCTCGCTGTCCATGCGGGCTCGAGGGTCATTAGGATTGGGGTCATTGGGGGTCCCCTCCACACGAGCCCAGCGTCCGACAGTGCTCCCCCAGCCCACGATACTGTGCAGAATACATGTGTGCTCCTGCCAAACAGGATGGTGCGAGGTGAATGGGCTGGGAGGCAGGAACGGGAGGGTGTGAGAGGGTCCAGAGGCAGAGCCTGTGTGGCTCACCCTTCTCTACCTTGGGAGGCAAGCTGGGTCCACCCCTCAGCCTCCCGGGCACCACACACTGCTGTGGGACCTGGTACCTACCTGCAGCGTGGCTCCATGGAGGACAATGCTCTCTCGGAGCCGCACACCTTCACCCACAGTCACCCCCTTCCCGATGGAGACATTGGGGCCTAGCTGTGGAGAGAAGCACATACCATGGGTCCTGAAAGGACCTACAGGTGCCCAGGTCCAATCCCATCCTAGAACACAGAAGGTGGAAGCAACCTGTGCAAGGCCCACACTATGGGCTCGGCAGAGACCAGCACCCTGAGCTCTGGCATTCTCTGCACCCCACTCCTGAACCCAAACGGATAGCACCTTCCTCTCTCTGGGGCTGGGCCCACCACTCACCACAGCTGACGGGGCCACTTTAGCAGTGGGGTGGATGTAAACGTTTCCTAGAAGCAGAAGAGAGGACCTGGGTCCAAATACCCCAAACCTTATCTAGACGGGAAGGGGCAGGGATTGAGACTCACCTCTGGACCTGAGGTCAGGAGTGGAAGCAATGGGGGACGGGGATGGGCAAAGGTTAACAACTGGGGCTGGGTGGGTACCTCGGATTCTTGGACCCCCTGATGTGTGCTTGGCCAGACGTTCTGGGTGAGTGATCTGGTATCGGCCCAGATAGAGGCGAGAGGCATAGAGAGCTGAGCTAGACGCCACAGAGGGGAGAAGCTCAGGGGCCAGCAGGGTCACAACCCCAAAGTCTCAACACCCCCTACCACCTGGTTCCCCACCCTCCAGATCTGAGGCACAGACCCCCCTGCTTAGCATACCCAGCAGACTTGATCTGACTCCAGATGCCATCAGTGAGGTGCACATAGATCTGGCCTTGCCCAGCCAGGGCTGAGAACACATCCTGCTCCAGGCGGATGGTCCCTGCCCCAGGCCATGAACCTGGAGAATCCTCCCTGGCAGAGAAAGGATGTTGACATCAGGTCCCCAGCTGAGCCCAGAGGTGAGCCAATGTGTCTCTCCCAGAAGAAAATGGAGAGATTCCCATCACCTTTCCAAGCCCCTCTCCAGGTGCAGGGGGGTTCTCTCCAAAGTGTGCTCACATTCAGGCCGCTTTCTCACCCGCCCTGCATTGGCTGCTCTTGCAGGGGAGCCCCTGGCATAGACCCGCTTCCTATCTCTACCCCGCGTCCAGAAGGAATCCCCCAATTTTCACATCCTCCTCCCCGCACACCCCTCCACTCACCCTCCCCTCACAGGATGGCATGAAACACAGGCAGACTCACCCCAGAGCAAGGCAGCTGGTGAGGGCAGAGACAGTCACAGAGAGAGGGAAAAAGAGATGGTAGATGCCAGCTCAGAGACAGAGAGGCCAGGAGAGATGGAGAGAAGCAGAGACACAGTGGGGTGAGAAATAGCTATGAGCAAATGATGTGAGATGGGGAGGTGGGCAGGGAGGAGAGGGTAAAGACAGGGAATCCTAGAAGGGAACAGCTTTTAGGCTTAGAAGGGGTACCCTGGGATTGGTAGGAAGGGCTCTGGGATACTACATCCCAAGGAGAGTCAGCCTGAGAATATGCGTGCACGCATGTGTGTGCTTATGTGCTTATGTGTGCACCTGCGTCAGTACTAGAGCACACCTGGGCCCAAGTGTGTTGCCGTTTGCTCTGAAAGGTGTCTCTGGGTCACTCAGGGCTTGAGAGAAATGGACCAGAAGGGGAGTGGGCAGGCAGTGACGGAGGAGGAACTGGGACGGATAAGGAAGAGGGACAGAATGAGGTTAGAAGGGGAGGGACATGGAGGGAGGCTGGAGATGACAAGTAGGAAAGGGAGAAGGGAAGAAGAGGGTGAGCAGGTTGAGATGGAGCCTGAGAGCCTGGCATGTGCCAGGGGTCTGTGACTGGGGTACTTGGGGTTACAGGGCGATGGGGCCTCACAGTTGCCCATCCTGCTGATTACGCTGGAAGACGTCCCGAAGAGGTTTCAGGGCTTCCGGAGAAAAGAGATAGATGCCGCAGTTGATGATGTCACTAATAAATGTGCTGGGTTTCTCCACATAGTGCAGGACCTAAGGACAGTGAGGGCTGGGTTTGGTAGTAGAGAGGACCACTGCCCAGCATGATCCCCTAAGACCCTCTCATTTGCAGGCCCTCCCTGCTGCTGCCAGGGTGGACTTGCTAACATGCAGCATGCATCTTGCTCTCACCTGACTTTACACCCTGAGATGACTGTCCTTCACCTTCACCTTCAAGATAAATCTGAACTGCAGGCCTTTCTCTCCTCCACCCTCCCCACCTCCTAGCATTCTGGGGCCAAAGCCCCAAGCCATTGCATGCCTGCCCTGGGATGTTCTTTCCATCTCTTCCTCTGAAAAAAACACCTTCAGAGACGCAGTTGACATTGTCAGTCCCTCCGTGAGTCCTCTCTTGCCAGTCCCAAAGTTAGTTATTCAGGCCTAGGCCCCAACCACACCTCACTGGTGGCACTGTGCCATTTCCAAAGGTTGTCTTGGATTCTGTCTTTCCCACTAGTCTGAGGGTTCTAGAGAGGCAGAGACTGTGCCTTTTGGCTCTGTTTCTCTCATATCTAGCTGGTGCCTGGTGCAAAACGAGGTATGCATGCCATGAGTGTGTGTTCATATATATGTTTTACATTAAAACAAGGTCAAGGGCTGGGGTTGTGGCTCAGTGGTAGAGTGCTTGCCTAGCATGTGTGAAGCACTGGGTTGGATTCTCAGCACCATATTCAAATAAAATTAATGCCCACTGACAACTAAAAAAATAAAAAATAAGGTGAAATAAAAGGGCTGTTGAAAGTGAGGCTCAGGGCAGGGAGATTCACAAACAGGGCCACAGCCCTCTGCCTAGTTGACTACACTCTCACCTCCTTAGAGGAGGAGCCACCACAATGTTCCCTGCCTCTGCCTTTGTACATACCATTCCCTGTCTGCAATGACTTCTTGTTTCTTCCTTTATCTGGACAAATCTAACTCAGTGTGTACCTTGCTTCCCCCAGGAAGCCCTCCCCACCTCCCACCCAGGCAAGGCTCAGTAGGGCCCCTTTTTGTGCTCCATAGCACCCTGTACATACATTGATTTCAGCACACACCCATGGGAAATAACTGTTACCCCTTCCCCCTAGCCAGCCTCTCCAAAAGCGATACAAGATGATTAATCAAGGGACTGCCCCTTATTTGAAAAGACTGGGGCCTCCCCATAGTGTTCTACTGTCCTCTGAGTCACGAGTAGATGCCCACCCAGCCCCCTCTCTGCTCTCACCTCATGTGTCTGTGGATTCTCAACGATGCAGCCATAGTTGAGGGACTGTGTTCTGTTAGCCTGAAAGATAAACACATCCGAGATAGTGACCTGCTGCTTCAGGGGGGCCAGGGCTGTTTTCTTATTCTTTCTTTCCTTCACCTACAGCACCTGGCACGCAGCTCTACCACTGACAGGCCTTCAGCAGGGTGAGTGCTGACAGCTCCCCCCACCTCCCTGCTTCTGAGCAGCCAAAGGGCTCAGGGTCACCAGTGATACCTTCGTTACAGCCGGGACAAGTACACCTCCCTCCCAACACACATTCCTATTCCAACTGTTGGGGCTGCCCCTGCTTCCCCAGCATCCTCTGGCCCTACCAGCTCCCTTACCGTAGTGCCAAGGAGTAAGAAAGGGTGGCGCTCGCATCTGTGAGCATCCAACATAGCACTCAAGGGGAAGTCAGAGCAGACGTCAGCATTGAGCACGAAGAATGCTTCAGGGCCTCCAGCTAGGATCTGGTCCCGAAAATGGTAGAGACCACCTCCTGTGCCCAGGGGGGCAAATTCCTGAAGGTACCTATTCCCAGGGACCCCAAAGCCAGCTCAGTGATATCTGATAAGACACACAGCATGAGCCAGGAAAGCTAATCTCCTAACCCCAGCCCCTGGGAGTACTCCTACCCACAGAGAAACTCCATATATCTAGGGAGTCGGAGGTGTCCAAATAAGAATCCTTCTAGCATGTGATGGTGAACTCTGGCAAATACTAACTCAACCCACTCTTATGAACTCAGAGGCCTAGAATATCCCCTTCTGCATGTACAAACACCTGATTGGAAGGTTGAACTCCTGCTGAGCAGCTTCTAGGAACTGGGTAAGGGCCTCATCAGGCTGGTAGAAGCCAATAAGCAGAATCTCCTGCATTCCAGGGACCTGAGGATAAGGCAAGAGGATGGGAGAGAAAATAGCTAATAGGAGGGAATGCTGGGAAAATCCCTGGTGCTGGCCTAGAAGTCCAGAGACCAGTTTCAGCTGGGAGCCCACTCTTGTCTTCTCCCCTGCACAATGAGGGAGTTAGAGGAAATCTCAGTTCAGATCTCTCCTTTACATTCCCTCACACACCTGAAATGGACTCATTCTTGGAAAGATTTTGCCTGCCAAGCTAATGCAAAGGATAATCCACTCACCCCACCGCCCTTTTTTCTTAACTGTCAGTCTAAACTTGACATCAGCATGAGTAAGGGTACCATTAATCAAGGATCAGCATTGAACTAGGCACCTTACAGCTTTGCCATCCCACAACAAAGTCGAGTCTCTATTTTACAGATAAGGAAACTAAAGCTCAGACAGGGTACCAAGCTTGATTGCTCCAGGTCAGTCTCACAGCAGAGCCAGATTTCACCCAAAACCTCGCCTATATCAATACTAAAATAAAGAAATGAGCTCTGTGGTGAGCAAGGCAATGAATTCTGTGCTTTGTCTTCATTAAGGATCCCCATGTGGGTTGGGGATATAGCTCAGTTGGTAGATGCTTCCCTCGCTCATGCACAGGCCCTGGGTTCAATTCCCAGTACCACAAAAAAAAAAAAAAAAAAAAAAAAGGATCTCCATGCTATGACTTTAAATTGTCCTTAAGATCCCTGTCTGATCTCATATTCCAAACTTCAAAAATAGGTGTGAAATCTGAGCAGGAAGAGACCAGATGAGAGACTAGAATAGGGAAAAACAGCGCAGCTACGCTGTACAACTTGAGACTTAAGGTCCCACCTTTCACATTTTTCCCCAGTAGGCAAAAACTATTGTTGGGAAAGGGGGAAATATAGCATGAAGGAGATCAGCAGGAAGTTTAGTGGGAGAGGGGAGCCTAGATTACCTGGGCACAGGCTTCAATATGGTGTTGGATCATAGGGACCCCAGCCACAGGAAACAATGGTTTGGGCACCTCAAAAGACAAAGGCCTGAAGCGAGTTCCTGGGAGAGGAGAGAGAACATTTCAGCCTCCTGCCCCCCTCTGCCCACTAACCACTGGAGCCCAACACCCCCCTCCCCACAGTCCCCTGGCTCCTCACCCTTTTGAGGGCCTCCAATCAGGATGACAGCTTTCAGCATGATGGTGAGTGCTACCTAAATCTCAAACCCCAACAGACAAATCAGGACCCTTTCTCACACCCCAAGTAAACCCAAAACCTTCAATAGCAACACTTAGCTCCCTCCCAAGATGTAAATCAAAGTTCAGTGTAGTCCATTCCTGGATACAACATCTCATAAATGCCACCTAGATTCCAGGTGGCCTTGAAACCTCACAATGATTCCCCACAAATTCTGAAATCCATACCTCACAACCTTATCTCTAAAAGATTTCCCTTTGGCTATAAACAAAATTGTGCAAACTCAGAAACTCAGCAGATTTCCTTCTCGAACTCAAATTTTAAAAAAACTGAAAACTCCATCCCAGTGATTCTCAAATTGTTGTATTCAGCCCTAAATCCCAACAGTGCACCGTGAATATTGAGCCACAAACCTTAAGTGGGCCTCGGATATTTAACTTCAATCCTAAGCATGAATTCCAAGTATTGATCCAACACTGACCACATTTGACAAACCCCCAATCCAAGCAAAAAACCCCTAGATGCTGAACATGAATCCTAAAACTAACCTCTATATGCTGAATCCCAAATCAGCATCCCAAACCTGAACCTACTAGCCCCCGGAGTCCCAATACTGACGACTGGTGCCGGATCTCCGGATTTGGAGGAATGACTGTTGCCCTCTGAACCCCACAACAGACTATGTCCAATAACCCTAGCTTCTTGTAGCTACGAGTTGTGAGACCAACATAGGCGCCGACCGCGGAGGGCGCGACAGGACCTCCAAGCTGGCGCTCGGCCTAGTGCCCAGTCCCAACCCCTCGCACCACCCCTTCACCGGCTCCCTTTACCACTAGCTCCCTTTATTTCAGCTTTGTCGCCCGCTACTGCTTGCTCCTTCCGCGCACGTGTCTTCTCGCAACTCGCGAGAACTCCTTCGTAGGGCCTGCCGGGAATTGTAGTTCCGAAGATCCCTCCCCTTTCTAACTTTGTGAGACCTAAGGAAAGCGGTGTTAGAAGTAGGGGGCAGAGCCCAGGGATCGAGGGGCGGCCTAAATGAGAAGAAGGAGGGGACCTGAGAAGCAGAGGCTGGAACCTAAGATTGGGACCGGAGCTGTCCCGGAATGGACCCAGGGACTGCGGCCAAAGTGGAGAAGTAGAAAGTGGCGGAAAGTGGCACTGGAGACCACCGAGGGAACGACCAGTCAAGGGAGGGGCGGGCCAGAGCTCGAGCAGCCACGAGAGGGTGGGGCTTGAGCCAACCCATGATGAGAGGGCGGAGTCATAGCTCCACTGCCGGTCCCTCTGGGAAGTCCCACGGTGAGAGTAATTCTATTTCAGGTTTACTTTCGGTAAAATGAAGCATGGACCAATCACTCTCCAAACTTCCCTTTGACTCCAGCATTTTGTGACCTTGGCCTGTGGGCCTGGAATAAGTGTGGGGACAGGGGGCGGGGGAGAGAATGGCGACGCTGAAGAACCGAATAGACACGGGGGGTCAGAGAGCAGCTTTATTAAGCAAGAAGAGGAGGGCTGACGGTCCCCACCCACCCCTAGGCTTGAAGCCAGGGCGAAAGGTTTGAGGGTCCCTTTCAGGCCACGTCCACGCGAGCGAAGCTCTGATCCATGCCCAGGCTGTTCTCCACGTACACTTCGTACTTGCCGCTGTCCTGAGGTGTGGCCCGGCGAATGGTCAGCGTCGTGGTAGTAGTACCGATCTCGAAGAACACCCTGGGGAAGGAGTGGGCAGAGGGAGGCGGGGCTGCGGGTCAGTTTACAGGAGTACTGGGTCCCGCTAATGAGCCAGCCCTGTTCTTTGCCTCCCAGTTCCTCTCCCTCAACCCTCTCCCAGCCGGTTTCTGGGCAGAGTTCCGCCAGATTCCAGCCCCAGGCCCGGCCCTTGTCCTCAGGTACTGGCCCTTGCCTGTCGTCCTCCTCGATGTCCTCCCCGTCCTTAGTCCAACCCACGTCTGGTGGAGGCTCTCCCATGATCTCCGCGGTCAGCGTTACCGTGGTGCCTTTGCGTGCTTTAGTGTTGTCCGGTCCCTTTTGAATCTTAGCGGGTACTAGAGGAAGGGGAGGGGAACGCGACCCCGTGAGGTGAGGTGGGACAGTGGCCTCACCTCTCAGCTAATATCCAGCTCTAAATACGAGGTGCATTAAAAAATTAATTAATTAAAAAACACGGTGCATTTAAACTCCCAGTGACATAGAACAAATCGTTAGTCTCTGGTTTCATCTCCTTAGCTGTTAAAGGGAACTTATCCCTGAACCTCCTACTTCAAGGGGCTGAAGAGAGATCAAAAGAGATACAGCGGGTGGAAATTTGGGAATGTTCACATATCTGCTGTGCTTAGAGGCAGATCTGAGTAGTGTAAATTGCCCTCGTTTGCGAGCCAGAAAACCCACTCTAACCTTGTTTATGTCTCTGCCTCGTCCTTTGACCCTGGGGCCTTGGAATCCTGTGATCAAAGCCCACAGCTGACTTCTCAGCCCGGGTGGGGCCAGATCCCGAGATAGGGAAAGATGTCCACTGCCAACGCGGTGATGCGAACCAGGCTGATAAACTCGCCAGAACCCTACCCAGATTCTGCTAGGCCCAGCAATTACTGCGAGGGTCTGGACCCAGCTGTAGGCACCCTCGGGGTGGTGCTGTTTGCGCCCTGGCTTGCGCGGAGGTCGCGTACCTTCCACGAGGATGCGCGCCGAGTCTGAGCACTGGCCGAAAGGGTTGGTTACGTTGATGCTATATTGGCCCAGGTCTGCTAGTTCGCCGTCGCGCACCACCAGTGCCACAACGTCAGGGTCCTCGAAGACGTAGCGGTACTTGGGCCCGTCGCGCAGTTCCTTGCCATCCTTGCTCCAGCGGATGAACGGGTCAGGGAAAGCCGAAATGCGGCAAGTCAACTTGGCAGCGCTGCCCTCGATCAGCACCACGTCCTTCAGTGGCTCGAGCACCCGCGGCGGCCCCTTCTCGCGCAACTCCTTCCTGGACCTACCCCGCGGGCGCGGTCAGGACCCAGAGCTACCATGACATGGCTCCTGCCCTTCTCCAACCCAGTCCTCCCTCACACTGTCTCCTGCCCACCCCCTTGGCCCACCACATCCATGAACAGGGAAATGGGAGTGGATAGGAAGGGGCTGTCCCTGCACTGTTAACCCTAATAAAATGATCCCCTTTTGCCAGCCATCTGGCTGCAACTCAGTAACCTCCCTTCCTTAAATCCAGGGGCCCTGGTGATGTCCTCAAGGGCACACCCCTACCCCAATTCAGGAAGCTACAGCTTCCTTCCTGTTGAAGGCTCGAGGCGGGTACCCTTCACCTGTGGCCTCCTCACCTGTGGCCCCGATAAGAGGCCTGGATGCGAATGGCAGCGCTCTGAACCTGAGGGTCGTTAATATCCAGGGTACATCCTGGAGGTGGGGCTGCTGGTTTTTTGGCAGGAGCTGCTTTGGACATCTGGTGAGTGGACAATGAACATGGGATCCGGATTGAGCCAGAAGCTCTTCAGCCCTTTTCCTGCCCGATCTAAACATCCTGGGGGATGGGAATATCTGAGGCTTCTCTGGGGAGTGAACTCACCCTGGAGGGGTTGACTTTGGGACTTCAGGAGACTGGCTGGTTGCAAGCGGCCCAGAGCCCTTCTGATGGCACAGTAAGGGTGCAGGCAGGTAATCAGCCCCAGGCCCTGGTTTTATACATCGCTCTCTTCCTTGCCTTGTTTGGGGTGATTGCCTCAAGCCCCCCCGGGACCCCAGCCCCCGCCCCTTGACCCAAGCAGGTTCCTTATATAGCCTGAGGATGCCTGGGATGCTGGCTCAGCTGCTGGTACAGGCCCAGGAGGGGAAACTCGAGCGGCTCTGGGTACACTATATGTCAGCACCTGGACAGCTGGACAACTGGATGCTGCCCCATCCCTTCCCAGGACTGGGGTATCCATCCCACTCCCTGGGGGACCAGTCATGGTCCCTAGCCAGAAAGAGACTCAGCTCACCGCTGGAGCAGTTGACACTCAATTCAGCTTCCATGTAATCCCACATTTGTGCTTCCCACATGGTAGGTTAAGGGGGTGCAAGTGTTTTTGTGGGTGTCCCAGAATGAAGCCAGAGTAGCCTCGGACTTTGTGGTTCATATAGCCAATCATGATAGGGCTAAGTGGCTGTCAAGACCAATTGGGAAAGGCCTTACTCTTCCCCTACCCCCACCCTTACCCCAGGAGTCTGCGGTAGTCATTTCTGCACTGTGCCCCCTGGTGGTAAATGGAGGTAAATCCAGAGGGGACAGGAATGATTTTTGAGAACAACCTCTCCCATGACATTGCCATCCCCACTCACTCCCCTGGATATGACAAGGTAGGGTTTGGCTGATCTGTGCGGTCCTTGGAGATTAGTACTACTACTGAGTCCCCAACCCTAGGTCTGCCATGCCCTTTTGAGGCTTAAACCAGTGCATAGTTTCACCAGACTATCTGGGGTGAAGGGGTTCACATAAATTCCTCAGGGGCATGCCTGGAGTTCAGTCTATCAGTGCAGGGGCCCAGGTAGGAGCATTGCTTCCGTTAATTGTAACTATCTAACCAGGTGTGGAACATTGTCCCTTTCTTTTTTATAATTTTGTGGTGCTGGGGATGGAACCCAGGGTCTCATACATGCTAGACAAGCTCTATCACTGAACTACACACCCAGCCCACACTGTCACCTTCTGATCAGAACAATTTTGACACAGCTCTACTGACATACATTACCTTTGCTCCTCCAGGTTTGGAATAAACAGTTCACATGCCATTTCCAATGGAGATGGGAAAGGAGCTCCAGATCAGAAAGGGGACGGGGAAGAAATTTTACCATTTATCAAGATATGAGTTCAGGCACCTCATTTTTATACAAAACATTTGCAGCATGTAGGAGATTGGAGAATCTCACAGGCAAACTGTATATCTTCATCACTAAAATGACAAGTGGGCAAGGCGTCTCTCGCATCCCTTCCAGCTGGTTTTAACATCCAGTTAGTTTATGATGATGGGGCTTGTCTCTTCCCTGTGGTTCTGAGAAGCCACAGAGGCTGGGCTGGGCTGGGCAAAGGGCAGTTGAAGCTGGAGCCAAGGGGCCCTCAGACTCAATCAATAGCACGACAATGCCAGTCTCTCTGCTCATGGTTGGAGGCTTTGTTCCTTTTACTTTGCCAATAACAGAGTTTTCAATGGGAGAATCATCCTTCTAGACACAAGGAAGCCTGGCTTCACTCTCCCTACTCATTCCAGGGCAGAGCAGCTCAGTTCTAGGATCAATAACCATTCTGTGGCATTGCAGGTGAGTGGCCAGAGTCAGGGTGCCTTAGCAGACAGCAGACCTAACTTGCCACGAGGACCAGAAGGTCCAGGCTGGTGTGTCAAGTACCCACAGCTGCTCCATGTGTTCCGCTCTGTCTGTTAACACTGGGAGCCTGAGTGAGGCTGGGGCTTGTTCGGGTTTCTCCTGTAGCTCTTTACACAGCCTCCTCTTGCCAATCTTCAGGATGAAACCCCACTATCCCAGGGCACAGGACCAGAGTGAAGGAAGCTGAGCCAGGACTGGGATAAGCTAGTTCACTCCAGAGCCAGCATTCCTCAAGTTATGATGAGGGGACAATGAGCAGAGGTGGGGTTACCAGAATCCAGTTAGAGGTTGTGGGTGAGGGGTTCAGTAGGATTGGCAGCTTTCTAGAAACTATGGGTTGAGAAGCAGACTGTAGTCTCCCTTCTCTCTAGGAATAAGGAGGGATAAGGGGCCTTGAGGATCAGGGGACAGGGTAGGAGGTCCCAGGGTAAGAGCTGGTATACCCTTGAATGTGTCTTCAGTGGCCCAGAGAAGGACAAATGCCTTTGTCCCCAAACTCAGTCCCCACTAGCCAGCCCTCCCCAAGAGACCACACATGGGTCCTGCTGCTTGCCGTTTTTATTTTCCTTGTGACAGACAGACAGAGAGCTGCACAGACAGCTGGATGGCTGGGGGAATGGTCAGGATAACATGAGCAATAGGGATTGGATGGAAAGGAAAACTTCATAAAAGTCAATAAATAAATAAATATGAACAGGAAAGGCAAAGGTCATGGAGGGACAGTGGGGACATCCTTGGGCCAGCAGAGAGCGCCCAGAGCTGCATCCGCTGGGACAGAAGGACTGCTTGCATGGCCACTTGCCTGGGGCTCTCAGCATTTCTCTTCTCTGCTTCTGGAGATGCCGCTTCTGGCCCATCCCTCCCCTCGTCCCCCCTGAGTTTGCTGTCCTCTCCTCCCACCTTGCTGCCCTCTCTCACACCCTGGCTCAGAACTCCTGGTACTGTCTCTGTGTCCAGTCCCTGCCTCACTGACATTCTCAGCCTGTGTCCCTGACACCTGGGGCTCCTTCCTTGTCTTCCTCTCCAGACTCTCACCCTCCTGGATTCTCCCTGAGATGCAATATGCCTCCCACCCCCAGAACCTTCCTAGAGTCTCTCTGCCTGTCTTCCGTATCTTCCTCTTCACTTCCTCAATCCCTCTTGTCCCTCTTTCTGTTCCCACCCCTGCCCAATGGGGTCTTCTGCTCTGGCTCTGGCTGGGAGTGGCATCAGGCCGAAGCCCTAGAGCCTCTATCCCTGCAGGTCCATGAGGTAATAACCCGGCCAGATGTTGCTGCTGGTGGTATCCGAAGCCCTGGGCCCACCCGGTTCAGCATGGGCCCTGGAATGTCCCTTGACATTGGTGGGAACCCCAAGTTGAAGCCCACGGCCAGGCTGTGGTCCATGATGCTAGGGGCTGCCAGGGTAGGAACGGAGCAGCACCTTGTGGTGGGTGGCGGCCTCAGCCCTGCGGCGCCGCTGCTCGCCCAGAAACTCCTTGAGTCGGTTGGTGGTAAAGGTGAGTGTCTGGCGGCGCAGCTTCATCAGATAGGCATCCTGCAGCCACGGGTGGGCCAGGCAGTCCTGCAGGGAAGGCCGGCTCCTGCCAGGCCAAGCCAGGGACAGTGAGCCAGAACTGATGACTCCCGATGTCCTCGGGCTCTGTCCTCCCCCAGATCCACATGTCAATCCTGATTCCTCCACCATGTGGGTGATACTGGACAACCCCAGAACTCAGTTTCCCAGTGTCTGGAATGAGGCTGGCGATTCTGCCTCTCAAAGGGCTGTTAGGGACTTTAAATGGAGAATAATGCGACTGCCCAGAAGCAGAAACAGGAATATACTGTTAAGGCAGGTGGGACCAGGGCAGTCTGTACCCAGGGGCAGGTAAGGCAGAAGGGGTTGGCAGGTAGGGGGCCCACTTACCAGGGATGTACTGAGAGAACCTTTCGCAAGAAGAGGGTGGCACTCTGGGATGTGTTGGGGTATAGCTGGAAGGCATCAAAACGGCCCCCCACAATCCGAGCCTCTGTTTCTTGGGGGTCTGGCTCATAGAATGGAGAGTGTCCACTGAGCCTGTTTTAGAAGACAGATAAGTTGAAATAGCCCCAAATCTGCCACTCATTGCTTTTCTACCTTAGTGGACTGAGGGTCAACTCCCAGGCCTGGGGGACATTCATGTGGGGATGCTGGGGGGGCACAGTACCAACCTGTTCCTAGGGATGTGCTAGGGAGGCAAGACAGGAAGGAGAATGTGTAGGCAGAAAGAGAGAAGTGGCTGGAGCAGGGCCCAGGGAACTTACATGATGTAGGTGAGCACACCTGCTCCCCAGATATCTGTGGCAGAGCCAATGGGTTCTCCCTTCACCATCTCAGGAGCTAGAGGAGACAGAGGCCAAGCTGACCCAGCTTCCCAGTGACAGGGGAGAAGGAAGAGGCAGGGAGGTTCTTGGGGGTTAGAGGAGCAGGATAATGCTCAAGTCACCAGACTATGGGGACAATCACAACAGTAGGCCTTAGATATTAGCAGACAGGACAGAAGCAGGAGTGGCTCCCAGGAGAGATATGGGCCATCTGAGGAATTAGCCTGGACACTGAATGATGGAGGTCCCCAGAACTCTAGAGGAGTGGAGAAGCAGGGTCATTTAGCTCCCCTGGATCAGCTCCAAGGTAGGACTCCCATTCAAAAAGAGAGTGGCCAACACCAAGATTAAAAGCCTTTGAAACCAACCTGGCTGGCTTTAATCCCAGGCCTGCCCCTCTTAGCTATGGGACTCTGGGTGATTTATTAAACCCTCATTGTCTGGTCTGTAAAGTGGGGCTTGTAGAATAGCTCTAAGGAATAGAGATAATAAACATCAAACATTTAGGAGCTAGCTGAATGGCAGCTGGTTTTCCTTATTTATATAAATAATAATAGATTCTTCTGTCTTTCTAGTCTTAGCAAATCTCACTTCTACCATTTATAACTGATTGGACAAACACTTAAGTTCAGTGTGTTTCTGTTTCCTCATCTGTAAAAAGTAGGTAATACTTTGCCAAACTCCAGGGCCATTGTGAAAATCAATTTTAAAAATTCACGTTCAGAACTTAGTTCATTGCTTGCATACAGTAAGCACACAATCAATGGTAGATATGTATGTGAAGTGGGGTGAGCCCTGGAGGCTGCACCTTTGGCAGTACCCAATCCCCCCCCACCCCTAGCTGGCAGCTGGTCCCCTCACCCATGAACTCCAGCGTGCCCGTGCGGTGGCCAAGGGGTCGCAGGGCCTGGGGGTTGTAGGGTTGGGCGCTGCCAAAGTCCACAATCTTGAGGGTGTTGTCAGGGGCCAGCAGCAGATTGTCCGGCTTGATGTCCAGGTGTAACACGTGGCGGCCATGGAGATAGTCCAGACCTTGTAGCAGCTGCACCACATAGGTGGCCACGTCATCTTCAGAATACCGGAACCTGGGGGTGGCAAAGGCCAAGTGGGAGATCTCCCAGCCCAGCCTCCCCTGCTTTTGCTCCCTGCTGCCCCAGAAAGTCTGGCTACCTGTCACTGAGCCCACAGAGGAGTTCCCGGTTGCCGCAGCTCTCAGCAATGAGCACAAGGTACCGAGGGGTGATGTAGGCCTCGTGCAGGGACATGAGTCGCTCGTGGTGCAGTGTCCGGAGCACTTCGTATTCCTGCAGGACTTGCCGTTTGCCCTCTGCTGCATATGGCACAATCTTGGCCACAAATGTACGGCCTGTGGCATTCTCCCGGCATGCTCGCACAACACCAAAGCGGCCCCTGTGTGGGTAGGGGGACACCACAGGTTCAGGGGCATATTCCTTGTGAGGACTAAGGGGATAAGAATGCAGTGGGTTCCCCTGTGGGCTCTAGAGCTCAGTCCTGGGAACATCCACCTCTGCATTCCTGGCTCTCTACCCTGGGCAGCTCCCATATGCTCTCCAATCTCAGCTCTCCTCCCACCTGTGGGATGGGTGATGACAGTAGGGTAGTGCCTCCTCTACCTGATGAGGATTGACAGCATGTGGCTATCAAGCTCAGGACGGCACCTGGCACATCTGAACTCACAACTTATTTTGTGTTTTGCATGCTGGGATTGAGCCCAGGCCTTGCACATGCTGGGCAAGTGCTCTGCAACTGAGTCACATCCCCAGCCCTGAACTCAACAGTTCCAAGGACCTGAATCTCAGCACCTTTCCCCAAGGCTGGCCAGGACAGTCTGCTGGGCTCTCCCTGGCTGTGTTCCCTACATCCAACTCTCTCCCCGTTCTTCCCTCCTTCCCTTCCCTGGTCCTACTTGCCTGGCTTTTTCTTCCAGGAAGGTGTAGGGTTTCTGAGGGAGGCCCTGTCTCAGAGTAGTGCCCTCTGGTGTGGGGGACCTGGGGGGGCCGCCCCCAGGGGAGCTGACCACCTCTTTGCCTGGGCTGAGGCTCCGCACAGTCACCTTGGTGAGCTCAGGAGGGGGCTCAGGGGCTGGGGGCTCGGGGGCTGGGGGTGCAGACACAAAGGAAGTCACCATATACAGAGGAGTGGAGGAAGACGCTGGTTTAACTGCTTGAGGGGTGGAGGTTGGAGTCCCTGTCCCAGTGTCAGGAACAAAAGACTTGGGCTCACTTAGGGTGACCTGGGCACTGGGTAGGGTGGGCTCTGGTTGCTGAGTGGCCTGCAGGCCCCTGTGCTTTCGTGGGGGGGTTTGGGGTGGTGGACCCACAGCCTTGAGTGACGACCAGGCTTGGCTGGGGGGCGTGAGAGGGGCTGAGGGGCTGAGAGAGGCTGACTGGGGGGCTGGGGGAGCTGGGGTCAGGGTCAGTGAGGTAGGAGAGTCAGGAGGCTGGGCCCTGGCTGGCCCTGAGGTAACAGGGGCATCTTGGTGAGCAGCAGATGGCCGAGCTGAAGAATCTAAGAAGAAACAAAGAAAATCATCACCATGTGTCCTGGGGGCAAAGCCACCATGCTCCAAGCGAGGGAAAGACCCAGGACTCAGGCTCCCCTTCTTTCTCCTGTCACCGCCTCCAGCCACTGACCTTGAATGCCCCTGACGAGGACCTTCTCAGAAGGGTTGCTGAAGGGGCCCTGCCCAGCACGGTTGGCACAGGCCACGCGGAACCTCACAGTTACACCAATGGGCAGGTGTGTCACGTTGTAGTAACAATCAGGGATGCCTGAGCTCACGGGGTGCCAGGTAGACTCCCCTGTGGGCAGCATAGGGGCGGGTATAAGGCCACAGAAGGGGAGGCCCAAGCTCCAAATACTGTCTAAGAACATGGGAAGGGACCTCTGGGTAAGCAGGACACTTGCCTTCCCAGACTCCCCTTACTTGCCACCGGCCACCTTCCTCCCCTCACCGTCCTGCCCTGTTCCTCACCATCCACCCGCCGCTCCAGTGTGTACGTGCAAGGAGCCCGGCTGTCTCCCGGCTTCCACAGCACCAGTGCCGTGTCCTGATAGGTCTGGGGCACCTCAGGAGGAGCTAGTTTTCCTGGGACACCTGGTAAGAGGGAGAGAGGCTCAGTGATACTCCAGCTAAGGGCCTATTAAGCCCCACTCCACTGTCCCCATCACTCCCCACTGGGGCCCTGCCCCAGACTCACGGGCCACAGCCACAGTACAGGAGCTGGTGATGCTGCCCAGGACGTTGGTGGCTGAGCACTCATACAGCCCGGCATGTCGCTTGCCCGCCCGGGGGATGCTCAGCAGCTGCCTTCCATCTTTGCAGGACACGATGACCACCGAAGGCTCTGACCGAAGGGACTGCTTGTCTAGGGCAGGGAGGAGCAGGAGGGGGCTGCTGAGTGAGGCAGCACATGTTGAGACCCCTCTCCTGTGCACATGCCCCTGCCCCCAGCCTCCCCTGAACCATGGTCACCCCAAGGCCTGGCCTCTCCCATCTCCTGCATTTGAGTTTCTGGCAGCAATCCCCATAATCTCCTTACCTTTCATCCAGGAGATTCGGGGAGCAGGACAGGCAGCTGGCAGGCAGAGCAGGGTGGCTGCCTCCCCCTCCAGCAGCACCTGGTCCTTGAGTTTGATGTGGAAGACTGGGGGGAAGTCTAAAAGGAGAGCAAAGACAGCCAGTGTATGCAGGCCCCGGGCCACTTTCTGAGGGAGGGGTGGGTGCGTGTTGTGAGCCCTGAAGTGCTGCTGCATGGAGCAGAGTGCAAGGCTGTCTCTTCCCACCCAGATGTGGGAAGGGGAACTCAGTCCATGCCTGAGAATTTTCTCTGGGGTGAGCATCACTTTCCCCAGGCCCTCAGCATGTGCAGACTACCTTTTCCTTGCAATGGTTATTGAAGATGCGTGGGACATACCTTGTATTTGCAAATCACTTAGAGCAGGGTCTGGAGCTAAGTGCTCTATAAGCATTTGTCAGATAAAATAAAAACAAATAGTGAAAAATGTTAACAGTTAAGATT